GTCGTGTGTGTGTGTGTGTGTGTGTGTGTGTGTGTGTGTGTGTGTGTTGCACCTGCCCTGCCCTGACTGCTGCCCCCTTCCCTGGTCCAGGGACCTTATCCCTCCCCGGCCTCTATCACACTGCCTCCCCCCCCTCCCCCCCCGGGCTCCCTGCAGCCCCTGTGTTTGTGTGTGAGACAGTCACATCCAATCCCTTCACACTGCTCCCCTTCCCCTTCCCTGGCTTAGTTCATACCCCCAGAAAATCCCTTCAAACTGTCCCCCTTTTACCCTCCCCTTATTTCATGGGGGGATGACGAACCGAGCGGGTTGGGCAGGTAGTGGCGGTGAGGCTTTATACTTCGGAGGAGGTGAGCGGCGAGTCGGTGGCTGGAAGGAAGCATCCATTTTCAGTATTTTAATTTTTGGTACTGCTGTGTGCAGTAATATAGTGATCCCTGGGGGTTAAAGAGTGGTGTAATGGTGGGGCCGAGCAGGGAGGGGGTGGGTCCTATTTTACTGCTGTGATCTGGTTACCCTATGTGTGCCGTTTCTTTCCCCCTCTACAGGCTTCCACACACTGTCAGTGCCTTGCTAGTGTGCCACGCGCCGTGAGATATCTCTTCTCTTTGTGTGTGACTGAGTGTTTCCCTTGTGTGTGAATTTATTCAACAAAATCTTGAGCTTCATAATGGCTACCATGACTGAAAAGAAAAAGAGAAAAATAGAATCCGAGCACAGAGTTTTCAACACTGACTGGACAAATAAATACTTATGTACTGTTTCCAAAGACAAAATACTGTGCCTTGTGTGTTGCGAAACGTTAGCCGTTCCGAAAGAATACAACCTTCGGCGGCACTTTGAAACTAAACATCCCAATCTCGCCAAATTGAACCCAAATGAAAAAATAATTAAACCAGCCAGTTTAGTGAAAAACCTTAGTGGAGAACAGCAAATTTTCAAGAAAGTGAGCACTGAGAACGATACAGATACTAAAGTAAGCTTTCAAATTTCTAAGGAAATTGCTGCTGCTGGGAAATGCTTCACAGAAGGCAAGTTTTTAAGAAAGTGTATGTTGATTGCTGTATCTGAGTTATGTCCAGAAAAGAGGGGAATATTTGAGAATGTCAGTCCATCACGCATGACTGTACAGAGAAGAATAGCTGACATTTCTACTAATCTAAGTGATCAGTTAAAGCAGAGAGTCAGTGAATTCTGCTTTTACTCCCTAGCTATGGATGAAAGCACCGATTTAAAAGACACCGCCCAACTTCTTATTTTTATTAGAGGTATTGATAAAAATTTTGAAATTACTGAAGAACTTGTTGGCATGTGCTCCATGATGGGTCACACAACTGGAAAAGAAATCTCCAGTGAAGTGATAAAGTGCATGAGTGATAAGTTGGGAATAGATTTCACAAACTTGGTGGCCATTTGTACTGATGGTGCTCCAGCTATGTGTGGGAAAAAATGTTGGAGCAGTTACACTTCTTGAAGAATTTATTGGGAGAAAAATAACCAAACATCACTGCATTATACATCAGCAGGTTTTGTGTAGCAAAGTCTTCAAATTTGAGCATGTAATGTCAGTGGTAGTTTCCATTGTAAATCTCATCCGTTCTAGAGGACTAAAACATAGGACATTTCTAGCCTTTCTTGAAGGGGAAGACGCCGAGTGCAGCGACTTAATCTACCATACGGAAGTGAGGTGGTTGAGTCGAGGAAGAGTGCTCCAGCGTTTCGTTGCTTTGAAAGAGGAGATAGCAAAATTCCTAGAAAATGGGCCAATAAAATTCCCGGAGCTTGAAAATGAGTCCTGGAATCAAGATCTCTTTTTCTTTTGTGATATTACAGCACATCTGAATGATCTCAACATTCAACTTATATTTCAAATGTGTGCAGCAGTGAAAGCTTTCAAAATGAAATTGAAACTTTTCAGAAGTCAGCTGTCAAAAGGTGAAATGTGTCACTTTCCCACTTGTGCACAGCGTATCCCTCAGCACAAACACGCCGAGTTAGGAGAAAAATACGCAAAGCACGTCAATCTTTTGATTGAAGAATTTGACAGAAGACTTACTTTGTCTAAAGATGATGACATCCAGTTGAAGCTGATTGAAGATCCCTTTTCTGTGGATCCAGAGGAAGTGCCACAAGATTTGCAGTTGGAGGTTACTGAACTTCAATGTTCAGCAGTTTACCAAAATAAGCACAGAGAAAGCAGCCTGTGGGATTTCTACAAAAGTCTGGACGATGAAAAATACAAGAATCTTATTGAAGGTGCACTGAAAACGCTCAGCATTTTTGGAAGCACTTACATATGTGAACAAACATTTTCCATCATGAACATGAATAAAAACAAGCAACATTCTTCTCTGACTGACGACCATTTGGAAGACATTATGAAAATATCCACTTCAAATATGACCCCCGAATATGACAAGCTTGTTGCCGAAAAGAGATGTAATATCTCTCATTAAATTTGCAAGATAATTATGAAAAGTACAAATGTTTTCTTTCAATGGAACAGGTGTTTTTCATTTTTCCATGATTCATAAAAAATTAAAATAATTAAAAAAATTGTTTGCTTTAATTGAAAAATTCTTAATAAAGTATCACCCCAGCACGGCCGGGGGGGTTCGGTCCTCAGCTATTTTCTTTGGAGTAATATGGCCCTCGCCGCTTTACGAGTTGTGCAGGCCTGCGATAGAAGTAGGTTTTCATCTTTTTTTGTGCATACAGTGAAATTGACATTTATCAACATTTACCTATAAAAATCTAATTCTTCCAAGCATACTTAGCCCATAATTACCATTCAAAATGTTCTCAGCAGATGAAATACATCCTAGAAAGCTCAAGGAGCTGACTGAGGAGATATCTAAGCCATTAGCGATTATCTTCGAAAAGTCATGGAAGACTGGAGAGATTGCAGAGGACTGGAAAAGGGCAAATACAGTGCACATCTATAAAAAGGGAAATAACAACAATACAGGTTATGGGGGGAAGCGGTAGATGTGGTATACCTTGATTTTAGTAAGGCTTTTGATACTGTCTCACATGACCTTCTCATAAACAAAGGAAATACAACCTAGATGGAGGTGGGTGCATAACTGGTTGGAAAACTGTTCCCAGAGAGTAGTTATCAATAGTTCACAGTCATGCTGGAAGGGCATAACAAGTGGGGTCCTGTAGGGATCAGTTCTGGTTCTGTTCAATATCTTCATCAGTGATTTAGAAAATGTCATAGAGAGTACACTTATAAAGTTTGCAGACGATACCAAGCTGGGAGGAGTTGCAAGTGCTTTGGAGGATAGGATTATAATGGAAAATGATCTGGACAAACTGGAGAAATGATCTGAAGTAAATAGGATGAAATTCAATAAGGACAAATGTAAAGTACTCCGCTTAGGAAGGAACAATCTGTTGCAATCTACAAAATGGGGAATGATGACCTAGGATGGAGTACTTTAGAAAGGGATCTTGGGGTCATAGTGGACCACAGGCTAAATATGAGTCAACAGTGTAACACTATTGCAAAAAAAAAAACATAATTTTGGGATATGATAGCAGGAGCATTGTAAGCAAGACACAAGAAGTAATTCTTCTGCTCTACTCCATGCCGATTAGGCCTCAACTGGAGTACTGTGTCCAGTTCTGGGCACCACATTTCAGGAAAGATGTGGACAAATCGGAGAAAGTCCAGAGAAGAGCAACAAAAATGATTAAAGGTCTGGAAAACATGACCTGTGAGGAAAGATTGAAAAAAATTGCGTTTGTTTAATTTGGAGAAGAGAAGACTCAGAGGGACATAAGTTTTCAAGCACCTAAAAGGTTGTTACAAGGAGGAGGGAGAAAAATTATTCTCCTTAACCTCAGAGGGCAGAACAAGAAGCAATGGTCTTAAATTGCAGCCATGGTGGTTTAGGTTGGAATTAGGAAAAAGCTTCCTAACTGTCAGGGTAATTAAGCACTGGACTAAATTGTCTAGGGAGGTTGTGGAATCTCCATAATTGGAGATTTTTAAGACCAGATTAGACAAACAATGGTCAGGGATGGTCTAGAATGATAATCCTTAGTCCTGCCATGAGTGCAGGGGACTGGACTAGATGACCTCTCAAAGTCCTTTCCAACTGGTAGACTCACTACTTTCAGAACAGATCCAAAATATAGAAAAGTTGAGAAAACTTTATCTGGTGCATGGTTTGTCTTAATTCTTGGTCTCTGAAAATTATTTTGTGATTAGAGGTAAAAAGTCAGTATAAACCGAACTCTTGCACATTCAAGCTCTGGAAAATAATTTGTTAAATGCATTGTTACTGTCTTGTAGGGGCTAAAATGCCTGATTTTTTTGTTTTGTTTGGGTTTTTTCAAATCAGGTTTTTAGTAAGATTATCTGTCCTTTATTCACAATTTAAAGGATGGGTGTTAGGTAAAACGAATAAATTTAATTTTTTCTTGTGCATTTCACCTGCTTGGACAGTCAACAAATAGAAAAATAACTAGTCGCCTTGGCTTGCATTTCTAGTCACTTTTGCTCTGTGTGCTCTCTGTCCTAGTGTAGCACTGCAATGTTAGGATTGCAGTCACTGCAGAAACTTATTATTTTCATACTTAAAATAGTGATCTTTGAATTCTTTTTGTTCTGTAAAACATTTTAGTATAGCTTTGGAAAAACAAAATGCACAAACACTACTACTTCTCAAATTTGGACATGAACTACTTGACCTATACTTGTTCATGTTAGGAGATAAAATTATAGATATTCTTTTCAACTCAGTTTGAATACATTGAACTTTAGAAAGCTTTTTGTGGAATAAAAACTGGAAAAGCGGTAATATTTTGCCAACATTGGAACAGCTGGTGTGTGCGCCTATCATATCTTTTACAGTAGATATTCTTAAAGTCTATTTTCAGTTTTATTAGTTTGATTTAGATGTGTGCAGATTTGGCTAAAATTATATACACTGTAATTGAATTGTATAAATAGAAGACAGTACTGTTTTATAAAAAGATTTCTTGTTTGCTTTTTCAGGTGGGAAGAGTGCTGTATTAACTGCTCTTATTGTTGGTCTTGGGGGAAAAGCTACCACAACTAACAGAGGATCCTCTTTGAAAGTATTTGTGAAAGATGGAGAGACGTAAGCAAAACTCTGTATTGATGTATTTGAGGTGGGCTGTTACTTTGATGTTAAAATTAGTTTGGTCCATTGAGTTACAAAGTCCTTAGTTTTCCCTTTTGCTTTATTGGGCCTTTTATAGAGCGTCAGGATGAGAAACATTTTTAAAAATATAGAAATGTGTGGTTTTAAAATAGTAAAAATTAGTGGTTGGACTTCGGTGTGATATCTGAAACTACTAAATTTTTTTAATGAATTTGAAATTTAGTCACTGTCTTTAACTGCTATATAAATAGAAATTTCATTTCCTCTCAGTAGTCAATTCTAAAGTAACTTAAATATTTTAAAGAATGCCCATAAGTGTACTGAACTTTCTTTAAACTCTTTCCTTTACTTTGAGCAGCCTATTTATCCCCTTCTGCAGTGGCAACTTTATTTTTGTCTGGAATGGGTTGTCCAATACCCAGAGCTGATTGTTAATGTTCCTCTCAGCCCCCAAAGTAGAAAGTTGACTTATGTACTAATTCAGTTATCTATTATTTGATTTATTACTTTTTCACTGAGTTGGACAGACACAATGGAAGGCCTTTTGCTCTCAGAGCATATAAAATTGTTGCAGCACTGCCAGTCTGCATCCTACCCTTTCAGATAGATTTAAACTTTCTGTTAACATACTACTTAAAGCCTTTTTTAATGCTATGTTTATGTGGTTCTATAGCTGCGTGCTCATAAAAGTAAAGGTCTGGTGTCATGGTTAGATCCAGACACATTGCTCAGACAGCTCTGGCCATGCAACTCAGTTTGGCCTGTAGAACTTTCTGCTTTGGAGCTCAAACTCTCCTGTGCAAACACAGTACCATGGTAGTTCTGTGTTGACCTACAATTAGGGTGAAACAGACCCAACTAACTTTCGATTGTGGCCTAAACAGGAATTGAAAATCTATTGGTGGAAAGTCTATTTCTTTATCTTGAATGATTCAAACTCAGATATTTTAAGTTACTATTTATTTTAGTTCTGCAGATGTTTCAATAACATTAAGAAACCGAGGTAAAGATGCATTTAAACCAGAAGTATATGGCAGTTCTATTATTGTGACTCAACACATTAGCATGGATGGAAGTCGTAGTTATAAACTGAAAAGCAAAACAGGTTTGGCAATACTTCGTTTTATTTTCAATTTTAAAGCATTTGAAAAAAATATTTTCATTACCCTTTTGTATGTTTGTGAAGGATTAGGTATTTCCTGTGAGCCAATGAAAATTCAAAAGGTAATGACAGAGTTAGCTAGTTTTTCTATACTGGTTCTGAGAGAGAGAGATGCTTGAACAATAAAATAAATAAAAAATGTAACTTCCATTATTTTAAAAAGTAAAACTTAATATCTTTCTAGTAACATATTTGCATTTCTGTATTCTGACTTTAACAGTACTGTGAAATTATTATCAATATTCTTATATTAATTGAGAAATACTAAGTAGTATGTGTCACATTCTGACTAGTGAGAGGTTGTGTCACCACCTGCCTCGCAACCTCGGGTGCCTCACAATATTTTGCTGCTGTATCTCCCAACCTGAGCCCCCTCACAAACAACCAGACAGCATGCAGGTCACATCCTGAGTGTCTGTATAGCTGCAGCCTGCCAGCAGTACTCTGGCTTCTACCAGCCTTGATTATCACTTCCAGGATGACCCCAACAAACCCCCAGGCCCGAATTTTCCCAAAAACATGTGTTCTGCATTGTCTAGTCATCTCCTGGATAGTTCAGATATTAGAGGTTTATTGCCCTTGTAAGGGGTTAATATTCAACAGTATGCTTTTTAATTGGAGTTACCTAAACAGTTCAATTTAAACACAGCAGTGGATTAGTTTTGATTAAAGAATAAAACAAGTTTATTTAAGTACAAGGAGAGATTTTAAGACAGTACAAGTATAAGGTGTTAGTCAGAAGTGATTACAAGGAAAATAAAGATAAAACACTTTCTAGTAACTAAAACTTAAAAAAATAGACTTGGTCCCAGATAAAATCCTTACCATCGGTTCTCAGCAGCATTGCTGACCAAATTCTCAGGTCTGAATCCCTCCTAAAGGCTGGTTCCTTTGTCATTTAGGTGAAAGAGTAAGCAAGAAAGATAGGGAGAGGAAGAAAGAGAGAATCCGTTGGGGGGGAAGGGAAGAGGGTGTTTGCCCCTCACTTTTATAGTTCAGTCACCCTATGAAATTCATTTTCCTGAGCATTACCCCTAGATAAAGTTCCTTATCACTGTGAAGATGAAGATATGGGGCTTCATGATGAAAGAGGTTCCATGTTGTTGTTTGTTAAAATGTACGTTGATCTGTTCCTGTCCCCGTATTGCCAAACAACTTTGATGACACCTGGCTAGAGGCATCAACTTGTCCTTTTGTCTTTGAGAAACTGGTTTAGCCACTCCCTAGACTTGTCTGGTAAATGTATTTCAGTCATAATTTCAGTTTGTTAAAAACTTTACATAATGTTATGTTATGTTAATAACTTTAAATAATGTTGCTGCATACATTGACCAGTGAGCTATTAGTTTTCAAGTGATAACTCACAAGGTATATTTTGTACAAAGATTATTAGAATAGTGTGTAGAGTGTAAATACAGTGGTGCATTCAGTCACAATATAGCAAGCTATACATTTTTTGTACTTATCTATTATTTTGGATATAAACTGTGATTTGGGCTTTTTCTTTTTTTTTTTAATACCTTCAGGGACATTAATTTCTTCTAAGAAAGAAGAACTTACTGCAATACTGGATCACTTTAATATACAGGTAATTGCTGAAATATTTGTTAGAGTTCTACATTACTTGTAGAGGCAAACTGAACATATTTGATAAAGCATGCTCCATTTTGATAAACGAGGGCACTAGTTCTTTCATACTAGCACAGTGCTACATCAGTTCACATTCAAAAGGTTATCTTCACAGGCAGTGGCTAGAAACTCAGGTTTGAAAAGGAAAAACGGAATTTGCATTCTGCAGGGTATGAATTTGCTATAGAGGTTGGATAAACAAAATAAGCAAACCAGATGGGACCTAACGTTTGGGATTCAGTCATGCTGTTCTGGGAATTCCCAGCTTATGTATTGATGCCTGTTATTTCATCCATACAGTAGAACCTCAGAGTTATGAACACCAGAGGTATGAACTGATCAGTCAACCACACACCTCATTTAGGACCAGAAGTACGCAATCAGGCAGTAAGAGAGACCAAAAAATAAGCAAATACAGTATAGTACTGTTAAATGTAAACTACTAAAAAAAAATAAAGGGAAAGCAGCATTTTTCTTCTGCATAGTAAAGTTTCAAAGCTGTATTAAGTCAATGTTCAGTTGTAAACTTTTGAAAGAATAACCATAAAGTTTTGTTCAGAGTTATGAACAACCTCCATTCCCGAGGTGTTCATAACTCCGAAGTTCTACTGTAATTGGAGATCATTATAGTATCTTATTTTACTCACTTTCTGCAGAGGGTCTGTAGATCAGCCTGTTCTAGCAGAGACCTATTTGGTTAGTTTTCTTCCTGTTAAGTGATTCAGGGAAGAATAATATGTACTACTTATGCACAACACTATAAAATGTTTTACAGCAACACATATTCAACATGTGCAAAGAAAATCTTTAGTATGTTACAACTTAATGCAAATATTGTACTGATTTTATCGGAATTTCCATGCCAAGTATAATTTTTTGGGATGTGCTGAATGGTTTGTGGAACTGAAGATGGGGTCTTATCTTTATTTCACTCATATAGAATTGATTCCAGATCAATCATGGAGAAAATCATGACACTCTACAGCTGTTCAATGGTCTGTTTAACCATACCTCCTCCAACTCCCCTCCCCGCATACATTTTTACCTTCATTTCACTTCTTAGTAGCCAGTGTTTACGTCGGCCTGGTCTACACTATGGGATTAGGTCGAATGTAGCCGCATTAGGTCGATTTAAAAATGACTGCGTCCACACAACCAACCCCATTCTGTTGACCTAAAGGGCTCTTAAAATTGACTTCTGTACTGTTCTGTTGACCTAAAGGGCTCTTAAAATCGACTTCTGTCCTCCTCCCCAGTGAGGGAAGTAGCGCTAAAATCAATCTTGCTGGGTCAAATTTGGGGTAGTGCAGATGCAAATCGACGGTATTGGCCTCCGGGAGCTATCCCAGAGTGCTCCATTGTGACCGCTCTGATCAGCACTTTGAACTCCGATGCACTAGCCAGGTACACAGGAAAATCCCCGGGAACTTTTGAATTTCATTTCCTGTTTGGTCAGCATGGCGGCAGCACTGGTAGCCCCCCCAGAATCACAAATGAGCTCCAGCATGGACTAAAAGGGAGACACTGGATACCTTTTCCGTTATCTCATTTTTTTTAAATTAAGAAAGAATGCATGGTTTCAAAACAATAGTTACTTTATTTTGAACGGGGGAGGATGGTTGGCTTACAGGGAATTAAAATCAACAGAGGGGGTGGGTTTGCATCAAGGAGAAATGCACACAACTGTCACACCGAAGCCTGACCAGTCATGAAACTGGTTTTCAAAGCCTCTCTGATGCGCAGCATGCCTTGCTGTACTCTTCTAATCGCCCTGGTGTCTGGCTGCTCAAAATCGGATGCCAGGCGATTTGCCTCAACCTCCCACCCCGCCATAAACGTCTCCCCCTTACTCTCACAGATATTATGGAGCACACAGCAAGCATCAGTAACGATGGGAATGTTGTTTGCGCTGAGGTCTGACCTACTCAGCAAACAGCGCCAGCGAGCTTTTAAACATCCAAAGGCACATTCTACCACCATTCTGCCCTTGCTCAGCCTATAGTTGAAATGCTCCTTATTACTGTCCAGGCTGCCTGTGTAAGGCTTCATGAGCCGTGGGAGCAAGGGGTAGGGTGGGTCCCCAAGGATAACTATTAGCATTTCAACATCCCCAATGGTAATTTTCTGGATCTGGGTAGTAAGTCCCTTCTTGCAGCTGCTCAAACAGCCTGGAGTTCCTAAATATGCGAGCGTCGTGCACCTTTCCTGGCCATCCCACGTTAATGTCGGTGAAACATCCCTTGTGATTCACCAGTGCTTGCATCACCATTGAGAAGTATCCCTTGCTGTATGTATGTATTGGTTGGTAAGGTAGTTCGGTGCCAAGATGGGGATATGCGTTCCGTCTATCGCCCCACCACAGTTAGGAAACCCCATTGCAGCAAAGCCATCCAGTACGACCTGCACGTTTCCCAGAGGCACTACCCTTGATAACAGAATGTCAATGATTGCTTTTGGCTACTTGGATCACAGTAACCCCTACAGTAGACTTGCCCAGTCCAAATTGATTCCTGTCTGACTGGTAGCAGTCAGGCGTTGCAAGCTTCCACTGGGCTATTGCCACTCACTTCTCAACTGTCAGGGAAGCTCTCACCTTGGTGTTCCTGCACTTCAGGGTGGGGGAAAGCAACTCACAGAGTTCCAGAAAAGTGGACTTACGCATGCGAAAGTTTCGTAGGCACTGTGAATAATCCCATACCTGCAACACTATGCGGTCCCACCAGTCTTTGCTTGTTTTCCTGGCCCAGAATCGGCATTCCACTGTATCAACCAGCCCCAGTACCGCCATGATGTCCCAATTGCCACAGCCCGTGCTTTCAGGAATGTCTGTGTCCATGTCCTCATCAAAATCCTCCTCATGCTAGCGTTTCTTAGTCCGGTTCTGCATATACTCCAGGATAATGTGGTGTTTACAATGCTCACAACAGCAGCAGTGATGGTGAGCTGAGCGGGCTCCATGCTTGCCGTGGTATGGTGTCTGCACGGATAACCCAGGAAAAAAGGCGCGAAATGATTGTCTGCTGTTGCTTTCATGGAGGGAGGGGCGACTGACAACATGTACCCAAAACCACCCGCAACAATCTTTTTGCCCCATCAGGCATTGGGAGCTTAACCCAGAATTCCAATGGGCGGCGGAGACTGCGGGAACTGTGGGATAACTACCCACAGTGCACCGTTCTGTAAGTCGATGCTAGACATGGTAGTGAGAACACACTCCGCCGACTTAATGTGCTTAGTGTGGATATAATGCAATTGACTGTATAAAATCGATTTCTAAAAATTGACTTCTATAAAATTGACCTAATTTTGTAGTGTAGACATACCCGTCATAAACACTACTCCCACGGTGTACCTCTCTTTTGCCTTAGTGTGTGCCTTGGAAGACTCAGCAGTCAGTTTAATGAACAAGAAGACTGGACTAATGTCTCTCCTTTAGATGTGGCTCCACCAGGTCATGACTTAGTCAGTTTGACAGAGGAATGTAGAAAAAGTGAAGATCTCATTTCCCATTTCTGTCAATGTGCTTTCATTAATATTAACTCAGTTTAAAATATTTCTGTTGTTTATAAATGTGCTGTTTTACAGGTAGATAATCCTGTGTCTGTTTTAACCCAAGAGATGAGCAAGCACTTCTTACAGTCTAAAAATGAAGGTGACAAATACAAGGTAAGCTCAGCAGGATCAAGAAGAACAGGAGGACTTGTGGCACCTTAGAGACTAACAAATTTATTAGAGCATAAGCTT